CAAAAGCGGACTGGGGCTGTTTTGTTGTCACAATGCACAAATCAATTGATAAACAAAACAAGCTACAAGCCTCGAGAGATGGTCTCAGTTCGGTTTGTTTTTGGGGCCATTTAGAGGGGTCTGAGGATAGGATACAGACAGAAGCAGCCAGAGCTGGAAGCCAAACAAAACTAAAAGTTTCAGTCTCCATTTAAAACAAGTAATAGCAAAGAACATTCTTTATTCCTATCATCTGTTTTGGGTGTATAACACTGTAAGTAATCGTTAGGTTCAGTTTTTTTTTATTTATAACTTTTACCTTAGTAACAAAATAATGATAACATCATGATATTGCAATGACACCATTTTCTACTGCTCAGCTGACTTTATTGGTACTGCAGTGGAAAAACTGCAGCATTCTTTTAATGCCCTATAGTCAGCTTTTTCACAATCCAAAACTAGCCTAAACGTGGAGACAATTAAGTGCTGTTTTCCAGAGCCTCTATCATTTTAACACTTCTAAACTTATGACCCTGAAGGGACCTGACATTGAAAGAGGTACTGAATATAAATACTTTGGCTTAAAGCTAGACAACAAGTGCACTTTTAAATGTTAACAAGCTTACATGTAAATTAGGGCAAAAACTTTGCTTCCTGTATTGAAACAAAATGCTTTTGTCTATTCTGTATAATGGTAATGTGAGCATCTGCAGCTAATCTTAGATCTTTAGACTCTGTATACCACTCTGCTTTAAAGATTCATTACTGGTGACGCATACAACACCCATCCCTGTGTACTACATGAAAAGGTTAGCTGGTCATCTCTGGCTGTGCTTTTGTTGAACTGAGGGAATTTGCTTTTAGCTACAGTGCACCAACAAGCTGGAATTTATTACAGAAATCTCTAAAGCTCCGCTCTCTAGTATCACATGAACATTTTAAAACTTTTAGTCTCTCACCAGTCATTGTAAATTGTAAATGAGAATCACCCTCAATGTACTCCAAGTTTAAATATGGGTTGATTGATATATTCGGCTGTATCAGAGTCAGCATTAACCAACAGTGTTACTGACAGCTGAAATTTACTGTTCATATTAGATTGCTATGATTCATAAATCTGTCGACAGAACATGAGCAATTTTAATCAAGTATTTAATTTTTTGGCTATTTTTTGCTGTTTTTAGCCATTTTCATTATTTTATCAAAGTGATGATGTAATATCATTTAACTTCTTTCTACAATAGTCATTGTTACTGTAACATAACGGGAAATATAGAAACAAACTTCTTTAGAAAATTTGTCTCTTGAGTGTCGCCCATTGCAAGATGAGAATGTTTGTAACTAGTTTACCAATTGTATGATATTTATTTCATTACAGATGCAAAAACAAAAACATATTTTGAACATTTCTGCTCACTGTCTTCAATCTCTGAAATAAATTATAATTTAAAGGGGACATAAACATCTGGATTGCTGCATTCTTTCTCATACAACAGTGTATGCCAGGGTGACAGTAGGCAGGTTTTTGTCCATATCCCTCTCATTTCCCTGTGCTCTAACCTGCATGTTTTTACCCTTCAAAAGGAAATCTACTCTAAGTAGTATTAAGACCCTCATGTTATGTTTGCACATCCTCTTATTAGGGCTGCCTCTATGTGCTGTGTTCAGCTATGCTGCAGGTGTTTGGTGATGCCTGATGTGAAGGATTTGTGTTGATTACACTGGGTTTTTGCTTGGCATTGAATAGTAAAGGTGGAGCAAAACACGCTGCAAACACGGTGTTGGTTCATGCTTACTAAAAACACAACAATTGGCAACAAGGATGGCTGGTATTTCTCTTCCTCCACCTGAATGATTTCTCACTCTGCCTGGCAAGCGTCCCACAAAACAGCCCCGCTGGTTGCAGCTCACTGAAACATACCTCACAGCCATGGGGCTAACCGAGTTGAAAGCCCCTTGTAAAGGACTGTTACATTGCCTGGAAGTGAAGGGACAGTATGTGCTTGGGGTGTTCAGAAACATTACCAACATCACATACGACAACATTTTACTGTGTGATGGTCCGTCACATACTGCTCCACAGATCACGCTCTTATGACAGTTTATATATAGGCAATGTTGTCACCTGCCTAGTAAGTTTGTGAGCCAATGTGTTGCCAATTTATGGGGACTGATAAAGTTTGTAAGGCACTGTTATGAGAAAATTAAGAGCTGTTGCTGTCTAAGGCAAGTATGATGACAACAGCGTCTTCTGCAGTGACCATGCAGCAACTGTGGATCAAGGTCTCACACCGCAAGAACCTGTCAAAAAGCCTGTCGCCTTCACCTCTTGGCCCACAGTCCAGCTGAACAGTGGTACTCTGAGGCTACCCAGTCAGTCAGACCATTTTCACCAGTACAGCTTTACCCTGCAGTTCACCCTGGGCAGTGACAACATTGTGGCAGATCTACTCTCTTGCAGCAACTCTGCCCTGGCCTCTCATGGCGATGTTGACCATGGGGAACAGAACATCATCCAAATGCTACACACACCCCTCCAGGCCACAGTCTCACTGCAGGAACTGAGGGAAGCCTCTGCACTCTCTCAGCTCTACACCTTCATCTGGGATGGCTGGCCTCACAAGGTCCCAGAGGACAAGGGCATCCACCACGTGTACATTGTTGTTTACCACAGCCAGGCTAACGGTGGTGTCAAACGTCTTCATCAGTCACTAAAACATGGCATGAGGGCACACTTGACCACAGGCATCTCCTTCTGAAAAAAATATTTTTACTCACATCTAAATATCTTTGTCTTTAAATATCTTCGCTATGACTGAGCTGATCAGACAAAACTGTCCACTCTGATTGGTCGTTGCCTGTATCTCATGGAATTCGGTTGCTGCTGAGTCCGCATTATTGTGAACTTTGACAAAAGCCGAAGTAAGGGTGCATAGAGGGCACTCCTGTACGCTCTTTCAACTGTGAAATGAGAAACAGGACACCCCCCAGCCTTGTGGTTCTTGCAGGCCTGCACGATTGCAGACTGCAGGACCACAAGTACGCCATTTGTGACTGAGCTATAGAATGTCACTATGCATTGAACTATGAGATATATGCTTAGCCCAATAGGGGTTTGATGCAGATTTCAGGAAAGTGTGAGTTTTGTTTGTCCGCTGTGTTTTTGTATGTTTGAGAAATGGGACACACTGGGAGACTAGGAAAGGAAAACAAAAAGAACAAACACAGACAAGGATAGAGCTAAAAGAGAGGTTATAGGTGTTAGTAACAAAGTGTTGTAAAGCGGCTCATTTAGGTAGTAGCACACAGAGGAGTACTTTTGAAAACATTTTACTTTATTAAAAATGTTTTGGTCATAAAAGAAGGAGATGGGATTTTTTTTAAAAATACCCAGACAGCCTCCTCAGATTTAATGTGAAATAAATTGGCAGGTTTTTGTGGCTGATAAGGCATAGCAAGGCTGATTTTTCAGATGAGCTAAAATTAGAGCTAACAGCTGTAACACTTCATGGTAAGGAGGGACTCATCTACTATACAAAATCTTTTTTTCCTCAGTTAATTATATTACGACTTGTTGAGGTATCATTAAGAGCCATTAATATTTAGCTTTAAATTTATCACAAATGCAAACACATCTGCTGCACTCTTCAGTACCATTGACTGCAGTATTCTCTATTCGTATATAATTAACCAATTCAGAGACTGATGTAAGTGGTAAGTTGGAAATGTGAAAGGGGCCCATTGTTTGTGGATAGAAACCTTACATCTAATGGCCAGACATCTGAGTACTTTGTAGTATCTTATGCCAGATTTTGCAGGCTTGGGAGGTTTAGGTCCTTTATTATTGTTTTGGCTTTATTGAAGCAACAATAGCCCTCCTATCCTGTTGCCCCCACTATATCAGACTGTGATACTGCTCTATGCACCGCACTGAGGTAGAACTTGAATGTCATTGTGGTTATGCCCCAGTAAGACGTTTTTATTAATAATGGTGTCTGTCAATCTCAGTTTCTCTGAGATCTGAGAAGCATTTTGTGGTACAGTGCTTTACAAAATGACTTCAAGGCACCTGAAGCAAATTGTTGAAAACTAGTTAGAAGTACAATCACTTAGAAGTAACTGTAGCTTTACTTGTGAAAACAATGTATCATTCAAATAAATACAAATAAGCATAAACACAGTCATCATTAGCATGTCTGATTTAACTTAATGAAGCATTGGTTAGCTAAACCAGGATTTGCATGATAGCTACAAAAAAATATTGTATTAATGTTACTGGTATTATTATATTAATGTTATTTGTCTCCTAACTTTTTTGACGCATGGGCTGGAATATGATTTTTATTTTCAGACAGTCTGTAAGGATATAATAAACACCGGAAATGTTGTTCTGCAGCATTTTATTTTCCTGCGCTCCTGATTTGAATGGGCGCATAGGCTATTTAAAAATGGCCCAATTTAATCAATCTAAACATGCAGGCCCTTCCGCTCTGAGCAGGTTATCTGAACAGGCCGTATGGTAGTGAATTGGCTGAACCGCAAGCTACCATTGAATGATGCACCTGCAGAAGAGGATGATTTGAGAACTGCGCTCCTATTTCCGCGGAGGGCTTTGCTTCTTGTAGTCTCCAAGCCCATCTTGTCTGCAGTCATATTCTGCTCTCTGTCTGGATATTTGTAATAATTCGGTAAAAGATGAGTAAAATATAATTAACCGTGGGGAATATTCTAACTCATGAGTTATTTAGGCTAACGGGGAAAAAAGTGAAATATCGACATCCGCTATAGTGCTGTGCTTTTTTAAAGTGTAATGCACAATCAGACAAAACGCACAAACTGAGTCATCTTTATCTCGTTCAGATATGGTCTGATGCTGAAACGCCCACCGTCCATGTCATAAAAGGCCGTGTCATTCTGCCCGCAGAACAGCTAATGAATCGTTTCAAACAAGCACGAGCTACGGTGTCCGGACGAAGTGCACATTGTGGGAGTGAAGCTGAAGATTAAAGAGTATCACTTACCCTGTATGTGTATTTGTGTTTATCCTATATCGCATTCGTTTACTGCAAAGACCACCTCTCTCCCCACCCAGCGTTTTGAGGATCGACTCACGATGGCGCTGCAGAGTTAGTAATGACAGAGTGACAGACCTTCTTCTGCGCTTGCGCTCTCTCTCTCTCTCTCTCTCTCTCTCTCTCTCTCTCTCCTCACACACACACACACACACACACACACACAGAGTCGCAAACAGTATTGCCAAAGTATTGTATTGGCCGTGTGAGGAGATAAAACACTAGCCAACACTGGCAGTCTTATTCACGCGACAAGACAATCTCTCATGTCTGATCTCTTTTCTTGGAAAAAAATGATCCTTTTTATCATTTATATTCATGTTTAAAGCGTCAGGTTAATATTCGAGCTAAAACCTGACAGCTAATAAAGTCCGTGATGTCACATGAATAGAGGATATTTTGTCCAGCATACCTTCATCTCTCTCTGTCTCTCGGGTTCTGATTTCAGCGTGGCCATCATAACAGTCCTACTGAAAAAACGACCATTAGAACCTTTAGGATTAAAACCTGATGGTTTTGCTTTCTAATAGGAATTAGCGTAATGGTTACCATTAGAGACCACCATTTTCTGTAGGGTACCTTTAGATCCCATTAGGAAACCATCAAAGGCATCTCGGTTCAGTCCCCACCTGTTACACCACTAGAATCTTTTACACTGTGATGTCAACCCATCAGGAAAACAAACAAACAAAAACTATTAGTGACTACTGAACACTATAAGGAACCAACAGAAACTTCTAATGGTGTTTAGTGATTTTTTTCAGCAGGGTGTTCATTGGTCTTCATTCCTTCCACTCATTCCCATTTGCCAGTCTCTGCTTTGTATATGTTTACTGCCTACCTCTTGACGTTCAGGTTCGGTGAAACGTCACGCCTGTGCCGGTGTTACGGTCAATTCAGTTCCCCCTGTTCCCCCCGCATCGCGCATGTCGAAATCATGACGTCTTCAGTCGACGCTCTTCCGCGGGGCTTAGATAGGCTTAATTCGTGTGTTTCTGTGCCGTAATTTCGTCCTATTCCTCGCGGTAAGCGAATTATCACGTTGTTTGTAAAATGACTTGTAGTTAAACACGTTTTAAAGTGTAAAATGTGTTGTTAGCAGATGTTTTAATGCTCAAACACTACGTGGGCTATCATGCTAGCTTTGGCTCCGTTTTCAACTACTCCGAGTAACAGAAGTTAGATTTATTGCGCCATTTCTGATTTAATTACCGTACATGCAGACACATTTTGTTGTTCAGACTTCAGTGATTTTAAGGTGTATTTATGTCCCATATCATCAGTCTCGCTAAGTTCTGTAAATAGATTGAAACATTTGTTGCTGAAATAAATAAACTGCATTAAGTTACACAGCACAGTAATTAGTCTGTTATTATTGTTAGACTACGTATCTCAGTGCACCTAGGAAGTTGGTTTCCCTGTAGTTTTTGAGGCTGAAGTCTTACTGTTATGGTACTAATGTGACTTGTCTTTACAGTAACTTTTATTCATATTTTATAATCTTGTATAACTGAGAATACAGGGGGAACATCTTTAACCAGAGCCTGAGAAAAGTGGTTCCCCCTTGTATATTACAGCTGGAGTGGATTTAATGTACAACAATGATGCTGATAATCTATTTCTGTGCATAATCATTTCACTCAGTAACTTTTATTCATATTATTCCACCTTTACACTGAGAATACAGGGGGAACATCTTTAACCAGAGCCTGAGAAAAGTGGTTCCCCCTTGTATATTACAACTGGAGTGGATTTACAGTACAGCAATGATGCTGATAATCTATTTCTGTGCATGATCATTTCACTCAGTAACTTTTAATCATACTTTATAATCTTTAGAACTGAGAATACAGGGGGAACATCTTTAACCAGAGCCTGAGAAAAGTGGTTCCCCCTTGTATATTACAGCTGGAGTGGATTTAATGTACAACAATGATGCTGATAATCTATTTCTGTGCAAGATCATTTCACTCAGTAACTTTTATTCATCTTATATAATCTTTAGAACTCAGAATACAGGGGGAAACATCGTTAACCAGGACCTGAGAAAAGTGGTTTCCCCTTCTATATTACAGCTGGAGTGGATTTAAAACACAGCAGTGATGCTGATAATCTATATCTGTGCAAGATCATTTCACTGAGTAGCTTTTATTCATATTATACAAACTTTACACAACAACACAATTATTACAGTACTTATAACCTGTTGTAACATAAGGAAATGATAGGATTATCATAGTACCTTTATGCCCCATTGTAGTGTAGGGAAAGGAAAAACCATTTACCAGGAACACTGATCAAATCCTAGTTGTTTACTTCCATTAGACATGGTAACATAGTAACAGATGACATAGCTGTATCAAGAAACATTACACTGTAGTACACCTGCATGTAGTAATCATTCAATTAGAGAAAAATGGTAAAACATATAATGTATCTTTTTTTTACATTTAATTAACTACAGTTTAAAATTTTTGATCCATTGTAGGTACTGGGAGGACAGAAAAAGCAAAGAAAGCATTATAGTATATTAAACTGATCCTAATTGCCAGTTTTTCCTGGAACTTACTTTTTTTAGGGTCACTGGGTAAATCTGTTTAGTCTCTGTATAAAACAATGTTAATGGAAGAAGCAGTTGGAATAAAATAAAAATAAAAGCAAATTAATATATATAGTGCATTAAATCTTTAATAGCTGTAATTGACTAGTACACTGAGAATGCTGTTCCATCTGTATTCTCAGTGTAAAGGAGGTATAATATGAATAAAAGTTATTCAGTGAAATGATTATGCACAGATATAGATTATCAGCATCATTGTTGTACATTAAATTCACTCCAGCTGTGATATACAAGGGGAAACCACTTTTCTCAGGCCCTGGTTAAAGATGTTCCCCTGTATTCTCAGTTCTAAAGATTATAAAATATGAATAAAAGTTACTGAGTGAAATGATCATGCTCAGAAATAGATTATCAGCATCACTGCTGTACTGTTAATCCACTCCAGCTGTAATATACAAGCGGAAAACACTTTTCTTATAAAATATGAATAAAAGTTACTGTAAAGACAAGTCACATTAGTACCATAACAGTAAGAATTCAGCCTCAAAAACTACAGGGAAACCAACTTCCTAGGTGCACTGAGATACGTAGTCTAACAATAATAACAGACTAATTACTGTGCTGTGTAACTTAATGCAGTTTATTTATTTCAGCAACAAATGTTTCAAATCTATTTACAGAACTTAGCGAGACTGATGATATGGGACATAAATACACCTTAAAATCACTTAAGTCTGAACAACAAAATGTGTCTGCATGTACGGTAATTAAATCAGAAATGGCGCAATAAATCTAACTTCTGTTACTCGGAGTAGTTGAAAACGGAGCCAAAGCTAGCAAGATAGCCCACGTAGTGTTTGAGCATTAAAACATCTGCTAACAACACATTTTACACTTTAAAACGTGTTTAACTACAAGTCATTTTACAAACAACGTGATAATTCGCTTACCGCGAGGAATAGGACGAAATTACGGCACAGAAACACACGAATTAAGCCTATCTAAGCCCCGCGGAAGAGCGTCGACTGAAGACGTCATGATTTCGACATGCGCGATGCGGGGGGAACAGGGGGAACTGAATTTACCGTAACACCTGTATAGGGCAAAAGCCGAAAAAAAATTGTGATATGTCAGGACATTTTCAGAAAACATGATATGCATCACAGTATTTTGTTTTTCTAATGTTTAATAAGTACGATCAGACAAAAAAGCCCCAGTAGTGCCGCTTAAAAAATACAATCAAATAGTATACATACGATGTTTGTTTTTTTTTGTTCTAAAATTTCACATTGAGGGGATTAATACCTATTCAATCATTTCTTTCTGGTATTATAAAAACTTTTTATATTTCCTTCTGTGCTTCGCTGCAAACACTGATCTGAAAACACTATACAAACATTGGTATCAGAGAATCTTGCCAGTCTAATCAGAAACTTCAATGGCCACAACAAATTGTATAAGTTCTTAATAACAATACAGGCTAAACTAGTAAACTTAAACTAAGGGTGGGCAATATAAAATATTTTATCATAATAAATTGCATCACATTATGCTTTTCTGAGATATCATGGTTATCATCAGTGCTTAAACAACAATGCTTAACTGCTTAACTGCTCTCATTACAAAGAGAGCAAAATTTAGTGCTGTTAAAAAAACCTCATAATTTTACGGAAAATAACTATAGTTATATATGTACTATATACTATATATATAGTATAGTTTCTATAGTAGTTTTCTGTGTTTTTTAATTTAACACAAAACTTAAAAAAAAAATTACTACATTGTGTATAGAGTATTTTTCTGCAATAGTCCAGGCAGGAAGTAGTAGAAGCAAGAATGATAAGCTTTAAGCCCTTTAGAACAGCAACATGCTTGAAAGTTTTAGCTTCAAGACAGCAGTAAAGCAGAAAGATATGTGATTTAGAGTGAATTCATGATCAGCTTTGCTTGTTAATGAGTAGAACTTGATTATCAGTGGGCACATTCCTGAAAAAACAATGATTATTGCACAATAAAAGGTTCGGAGTGGGTTAAAGTTTATAAATTCTAATAATTTTTATTCATTGTGTTAAGTTAAACTGGAATAGGCCTTTATCTGCGGTTCAGAAAATGGAATTTGACAATGCTATGTTTTCCACATTCCAGAAATTGCGTGAGTAAAACATATTATTGATACTTTTGCTATTTTGCTTAAATCGAGTTAAGTCAAGTCAACTTTTATTATATAACACTTTAAACACAACAAAGTTGATCCACAGTGGTTTACAGAGAAAATGGTGAACAGAGATGAGAAAAGCACACATCCTTATACACTCAAACTCCCCACATTCAAAAACACACGCATATGGCATACAGCCAGCTTAAAGTGTTTGTTATCTGATCAGAATGTGAATTTGTTATGGTCATATCAATGTCTTGAAGAGTGTATGAGAGAAAAATGCAGTGAGGCAAGTCACACTGAGTCATACACTACACTGAGACACTGAAACTACGAAAAGTAGTACATGGAGGAAAAGGTTTGAAAAGACTGGAATGTATCCCAGCATGCATTGGGTGGAAAGCAGGGAAATAGTCTGTCACAGAGCTAACACACACACACACACACACACGTTCAATCCTGTGGGCAATTTCGAGTCCTCAATTCATCGAATATATATGTCTTTGTACTATGAAAATCAGAGGCCCTAGAGGCAACACCCAGAAAGGACCAGGGCTGAAGCTGAACCCAATCCTACAGCTGCTTTTACACATTTTAGTGTTTCCCTGATTCTAACACACCTGATCCTACCAGTCAGCTCTTTAACAAACTTTACTGAACTAAATAGACGTGTTATAGCAGGGAACACCCTAAAACGTGCAGGGTAGTGGGCCTCTGGGACCAGGGCCGAGAAACACTGTCCCAGGCAAATGATTAAAAGCCCCAATTGGCAGTTGTCTCCTGTTGCAGTCCTGGTAATTTCTCTGCTTTAACACACCAACTTAACCTGGTAATCAACTAATAAGTTGGATCACGTGTGTTTGAGCAGGGAAATTCGTGCTGGACACTGGCCCTCCTAGACTGAAATTACTCCTAGGTACTAGGTGGATTTATCAAATATGACTGTGATTTGGAGAGTAGGGAATAGAGTTCAGATGAGTATTTAGGTGAAATTCATTTTTCTCAGTAATTTACATACACAACTTGAATCATTTCCATTCACAACAATAATTAGAGTTTGCCATTTTCAAGGGAAACGGTTGAAATATGTAATATGTAAACAATGTGTAAGTTTTAAAATATACCATTCACTCCCCATTTCATACACCTGGCCTTTAGCCATACAAGGGTTCTTTAATAAAGAAAAATGGTTCCATATAGAACCACTCAAAGAACCCTTTTCATGATTAAAGCGTTCTTTGCATCATGAAAGAGTTCTTCAGATTAATGGAGAATGTGCTTTAGATGGTTCTATTCAGAGCCTTTTTAAAAAGGGTTCAATATAGCACCAATAAGGGTTCTTCTATTGTTACGAACTTGACATTGTAACAATAGAAGAACACTTTTTGGTGCTATATAGAACCATATACAACAGATTCTCCATCAATCTGAAGAACATGAATATTCATTCAATATATCTCAGTAGAACAAAGATTGATATATATATTGAATGAACATTGATATATATGGAATAAACTTTGATATATATACAATGAACTTTGATATATATGGAAAGAACTTTGATATATATACAATGAACTTTGATATATATTGAATGAACATTGATATATATGGAATGAACTTTGATATATATGGAATGAACTTTGATAATATATGCAAGGCTACAACACACACAACCCCAAAAGTCCCTCCCTGTCTGAACAAAACATTTTATGAATTATATTATTCATTTTTTTTATCTCAATA